TTATTTACACTATGCACGGAGGTAAGGAAGGCAAGTAGAGCGACACTAGAAATTTTTCTTACAACCAGTGGCGGATTTGCAGTGGCGGCCTAGGCCCCAGGTCATGATTAAGGAAGGTTATCGTAAAACGATGCGGTGAAGTGCGGAACGCCATAATTTGCGCGAGCCTTTTTAGGTACATTGAGTTGTTTCTTGTGATCATCATTAAGTTTTTTGTCACGAAAAGCCGCCCCTAAAATCTCGCTGCCCTAGGTCCGGGCCTACTGGGCCATAGGGCAAATCCGCCACTGCTCACACCAATACCACCAAAACGAATAGGTAACGTAGCTTAAGTCCAGCTTAATTTAGCTCATTTAAGATAAAAATCAATTTCGTTCAAAAAGTCACCGCATTTCCATACTGGACTCGAGCGAAAGCGGTACGTAAATTTAGGTACATTAATACAATGTCGCTAAATATTAAACACAATAAGCGAATTCAGAAAAACAATTTGTTAACATGATCTAAAAATTGATTTAACTATAATTTTAAAAGAGGTCCAAAATTGGTAATAACAAAGGAGCACCTAAGAGCCGTAATTTGAATGCCTCAGTTTGGGCGGGCTAGTGTCATATACGTCTTATCTTATTTATGAAATTCTTGTGTCACAGTTTTAGTGTTCATACTCCCCCGAAACGGCTTAATCGAATTTGATAAAATTTTATATGTATACTAGCTGACCCGGCAAAAAAAAATTAAAAAGTGTAGGGTAGAAAAAATGTTTAGGGTGGACCAACCTTAACATTTAGGAGGATTAAAAATAAATGATGAACGATATGCACACAAAATTTCACGAAAGTCGGTCGAGCCGTTTCGGTGGAGTTCAATTCCAAACACCGTGGCACGAGAATTTTATATATTAGATTCAGTATGTATAAGAATTTTAAACATTTATAACATTTTTTTCTATCATAGCAACTAGATGATCCGACAAAACAATGTTTGTCGGATCAGCTAGTTTGTATAATATATTAATAATGCAATGCACAGCTTTATATAAATTCAATAATTAAATAAATGATGATCTGAAAAAAGCCTACATTATTTACCTACCTTAATTACTACTTATTCTATATGTGAGTCATGGAAAATGTTAATGAAAACAGCGTACATACGAAACCAGCGTACACAATGTAGTTTAATGTATTTTAAACCCCTTACTAAGAAATTATCTACCCTAAAACAAAGCTGGTGGTGTAACGTCTCTTATAAACGTTAGCTTAAAAACTCAGGAGTCGTCTCAGGTGTAAGCCTCGTACAACGTAAACCTATAAAAATTATCTATACTCGCAAATAATTTGAAAGAACACAATTGGATTGCCCATTCCCATATTTCTCATTTACATATTTATGTTCTGACAGCACCTACACATACGCAATGGTTTTGTTTCGAGAGAAATTATAAAATTTCATAAATATAAAAACATTAACCAGTTCTTGATACCTTTTCCACGATTTAATATTAGTACCCGGAGGACCGAGCTTAGCTCGGTTTGATCGTGTGTTTTGGAAATTACATTTAGATACAAATTACTGAGTAATGAAATATTATGCATAATATTTTTCGATCTTACCGACGTAATAATAAGAAAATATGAACTGATGTTTTTCACAAAAGAAAGAACTTTAAAAAAAAAGGGAGAAAAATAACAAAATAACAAATCGACATAAGACTAAAAATAAAGAAAGCAATGATCGGGAATCGAAAAAAAGTAAATAAATAAATGTGTAAAAGATCGTGACGCGAACCACGGCCGTCTGTTTTGGGGCCGCCCGATTACCGACCGATCTATTATGAAATTTTCTCCTGCGACGAAATTTACCGTCATATTCGAATTATATTTTTCAATCCCTGAAAACAGGGATAAAAGGACATTTTCTAAAAATGAAACCTAGCTAGATCGATTTTTCGCCCCCGAATCTACGCAGATACTAAATTTCATGAAAATCGCTGGAGCCGTTTCCGAGATTCCGATTATATATATATATATATATATATATATATATATATCGGATATATATATATATATATATATATATAGGTATATATATATATATAATCGGAAATATATATATCGGAAATATATATATATACAAGAATTGCTCGTTTAAAGGATAAGATTCTTACACCGATTGACATCGCAAGATGACATTATTTTATTTTTATTATATTAAATCAAATAGCACTGTCAATCCAACTGAACTCGTAAACATAATCTATAACATTTAATTGCGTTTTAACTGCGTTTTCTTCTTATTTATACATATTTATAAATGCTATAAAATATTCATTTTCCTTGTTTGTCCATATTATGTAATAATTTATTTTATCTGTTACGTAAATCAATGATGAATATGAATATTTCCAGGCGTTAAGAATTTTTTTAGTAATTGTAGGTATATGTTGTATTCTGTAACGAGTAACGACGATAGCCAATCCATCCGGTTTGGTTTTTGCGTTTCACATCGACAATTGAATAAACTACATTTAAGTTCAGTTTTATCGTTAGCAGTTAGTTTAATCGGAGCGAGGTATCAGAATTAATTACACCAGCAGGTTGCTGATGTAGTTAGAAATTTATTCAAATTTATAACTGTCTAATGCAAACTTTCAATGTTACTATCGTATTCTATTTATGGGAAGCATCAATATGCTACCATATCTTCGAGAAAAACGAACCTTCGATGCAACAACCACTATCTATGTTAAGACCCAACAACATTCTATATTAGGAAATATGTATGTGACATATTAAAATCATGCGTGGCTAACCTGGAACCACTGGTAACTGCTCTGAAACATTCATTATTACCAATAAAATATCACTTCAAAAAGTATCGAAACATCTAACAGTCAATTCCTTTGCTATTTTCAAACTAAAGACATTTCAAGTCAAAACCCTCCATCTAAACTATACACTGTTGCTAGATTAGCTACTTAAAATTGTTTGCGATTTCGAAATAGAACCTTTATACATATGTTGCATTACATCTAGTGATCGTTCTAACCAGGACCCACACTTATAAACATTTGAAACGCAATTGATACTCCATAATTATTCTAGACGTCCATGGTCACCAACGTCACTTAATACCTAATGATCGGCGTTGTGGTGGAGAAGGCTAGTAAAAATATATTTGTCTTAGTCAACGTGTCGGCTGATCCATGAAGACATGTGTTTCGGGACACTGAGCTGTTAGTCAGCAAAACGTCTATCGCGACGTCAACAAAGTTATATTGTACGGGACTTTGTCGTCCCATCGTCTGACGACCCTACTGTATAATACAATAACAATCCAATATAATGGCACTGAGATCGCACGCTGTCTGAACCAGCTAGCCTCGTTCGAAAATCACATGACTACAGATAATGGCATTTACTTATAATGTACGCGTGTATGAATCATTTTAGCCCTTATTTATATCATTAATAAATTATTGCTGACTTGAATTAATTCCTATTATTTTTTGGCAGCCTTCAACTGCAATCTATGCAAAGACTGTTTTTGGTCATCGCAAATTGCCAATTGAATAGTTTTGTGTTTTATTTTACTTCTGATTTATAAGGATGGCAACTTAGTGTTGCTAAGTTGCCATCCTTACAATCCCTCCAGTTTCCTCACTCATTAGACGAAAAGCTATAGAATAAATACTTTTCCGAGTTGTTCTATTTGTTCAGATGTCTCTGTGTTCTTTTGTAAGCTGTTACAGCTCCACCATCACTTAATGATAACGCAAGTAATTATTCTGATACCTACAAATTCCATTGCTCCAATCAGCTTGACAAATCATCGGGGAGCTTAAACGAGTGACAGCTGAGTGCATTTTCCACTGAGACACAATCCAAAGCGTACTTGAAAGAATAGGAGTAAATCTAAACGACTAGTATTAAACATTATATCCTTAGTAAAAAAAATTGTTATCCTTCCCTCGTATGGTATATCCCTGGGTTAGTAGGTTATTATTAAAATTTATTTATGTATTTTTATTTATTATATATAACAAAAACACCTTAATACGCTTTACAAAAAGAAGTAAAAACTTTACATTGTATAACCTGGCCGTTGCTGTTTCCAAGGAGTTTATTATGAACAAGATAAATAAAAGAAATGGTTATAGGAAATAGAAAATTCAAACGATGAGAGCAAGAAAACATTATCTCTGCTGTATAGTAAACCTTTGTCACAAGGGACCTTCTTAATAAAAAAAAAATATACGGCTATACATAATATGGTTGAGTTTTTTCCTTTACGAAGTTTAAGAAATTTGAAAGCTAAACAGAATCAGAGTATTGAGATAGCTTTCAAACGAAATCAATGTTGATGGTTTTTACAAATCATAACTGTAACCACATACGATTAAAGTTTCGAAATATATATCTGTTTAGAACTAAATCCTTCTATGGTTACAAGCAATAAGAGAATTATATAAAATATATGTAAGTAATATCTTTGATAGGAAAAATTAATTTTTCCTATCTTGTAATATAATAAATGAATTTTGTAATCGCGAAGGCAGGTATAAGAAATCATTGAACATTCAGTATTACTTTGTTAAGTAGATATATATACAAATTTCAAAATTTATCTGCTATTAAACATTCAGTCATTTATCCAACAAAAATGATATCGGCGTTCATCTAAGTTTAAAAAATGTTATGTAGCGAATATGATAACACAGTGGAATATCAAGGTCGCCTAGATATTTTACTTTTCATTAAGAAGAACTGAACTGGTCCAGAGAGAAACGAGAAACCAATCCACAGGTAATATTTTTGAAAGATGTGACTAAAATTAAGTAATAATGTCGCCAGTGGCATCAGCGCGAGGAATGTTCGCGTCTAGACGTGAAATAAAATTATAAAACAGCCATATCCCATATTATTGTGGTATTCACTCAGCGGTGCGGAAAAAGTTGTGTGCTCGCTTCAAAAGCTCTCGGAGTGTGGTTAATAGTGTTAATGAGGCTGCGAAGAGCACGAGACGTCATCAGCAAAGAGTACGCTGGCGCCGAGGCCCGTTCATATAAACGTGCGGACGGCGCGCGCGCCAGTCAGTGGAAAAGAGGTTAGCGTTCCGTCCGCGTCGTGAATTGCAAGGCGCTGTGCGCATGCGCATCCCGGCAACGGCGCCAGCACCCACCACACCGTGTTCCCCCGAAAAATGTTGCATCTCGCACTGCACTAAGTTTTCGCGTTCAAAGCGACTGACGCCCGAACTCTTATTTACTCACTAGCCGAGCAAATATCGCGTTCCCTTTGTTTCGACTTTAATAAAGCGTCGGAGAAGAAAAGAAACCCAAAAATGGTCAGCGGCAACAAGGACCCCAGCGATCCGATGAAGATACCGCCGAAGAATCGTGAGAAGAAGACAAACAATTACAAGCGGGCTAATTTTTTGTCGCGAGCATGGTTCATGTGGATGATGCCGACGTTTTGGCGCGGATACAAAAGGGACCTCTACGATTCCGATCTCACTAAGCCCAAAGAAAGTCACTTGTCGGACAAACTCGGCGACCGTTTGGAAAAGTAAGTGGCACACTTAATTTACAAACGTTATACAATAAAATATTGATCTAAATGAATTGCATCCAGAGTTTGCGTGCTGTATCGATTTAGAGATGACCTTTATTCCGCAAGGTGAATATTTGAAACGTTAAGAATGTTTATTTTTTACAACGGCCGCGTTAGTTGAGCTCGTTTATTATGTGAACCACGTCCCTTTATGCGTATTGAAACCAGTTTAAGCTGCTGGACAGTTTAATCTTCATTCAGAAATTTTGTATTTTGTATCAAGTTGTGAAAATTTGGGTATTTTCTGCTTGCACATGTCTTTAAGTCGTAGCAATCAACTCACTTAAACCACAGGTTTACTCCTTTATCTATTGATGTTGTTTTAAATGTCACCATACAGTTACGGAGTGATATTTTGCGTTCTCCGTCACAAGTACTTTAAATTGTTTTGAGAACTTATTTAAACTTAACGTTTACGTCAAACATGCGAATTAACAAGTAAGTCGTAAGTAGCGCGTATTTACCAGTCAAGCTGCTCTCAAACATAGCGTGTCCTTTTAAATAAAGCGTATACATCCCATGTCCATGGAATTCTCAACGTACAAAACAACACAATTATATACTTACTTTTTTTACTTTAAATATAATTTTAACCATTGATCTTACTACTTCAAAAACGCGGATCTAATAAATATAGAGATGATTTTATTGATTTTATTTATTATTAATATGCCTAAAGAGAATATTGAATTCATTTTTGATTGAAAAAAAAAATCTTTTATTATATAAAACATAAATAAAAGAAAGTATAATGTAAACTCTTCTTTTCTTAAGAATGTAAACTCTTTTCTTTGTTGATTTATATTTATTATCATATTAAAATACCATTGAATAAATACAAATACGTTTCTAAATAAATATAATATAAAATACAGTACAAACAGCCAATGCTACTCAAACACTTTATTCTCAGTAACAGAGTTGAGAAAATTTAACTTTTGGTATTTGCTCTTGATAAGTATATCGCTAAAAATAAATATTTGTTGTATTAATGTGTGATATATTTACTTTTGATATATACGTTAAAATGTTAAAGAAATGAAGTTATATTTTTCTAATCTCGCATAAATTTACAAAAATCGAAGCTGTACGGACTTTTATTAATAATATTATTTATTAATATTAATTTAATTATGACTTTTATTAATAAGTTTTTGCGAATGATAACCTCTACAAACGTTTCATACAACTTTTCTTATTATAGTACTTACTTTTTTAACCTAGACATAGAAATAAGCCGTCAATGAGAGGCCGTCCTTATTAAATTTTTATCAGAGAAATTTTTTTAAAGTTAAGTTTTACATAAAATCATTTGTTTTTATTTTGTAATTGTAGGTACCACGCCACAAATTCTGTATCCAAATGGCAGACAGGCAGGCTCGCCCAAAGTAGTCGGGCTCACAGAACATCGCCGTAATGGCTTCTGCATTACGGCGATGTTCTGTATGTAAATGTACTTTTGCATTTCGTCTCCTGATTGATACTAGGATTACTAGGGCTCACTCTCTAAGAGGTTGTAGACGTTCATGGGCGATGTTAATCATTTAATTTGAGGTGAACTGCCTGATAATATGCCACTTCTGGCCAAAAACAACTGAATATCAGATGTAAACTTGGAAAATACACTTAATTCAACCTAAATAATGTGAAATAAAATAAGCATTTCATTTGGTACAACAGAAGTAAGCCAATACCTCTGAACGAGTACTTCAACTCTGTATTGAATTATTTTATTTCGTAACCACAAGGGTTACGAGATAAATAAATTCCGGGTTTATTATAGAAAAATGACAGTAACCTGACAGTAACCTACAACAGTGACAGTAACCGCCAACTCGCCAACTTTATTCCTAGTAATTTGTGCTACTCGTCGTTTCAAAATACTTTAAGCCATGCTCTGTCTTTCGTTATTTTTTTATTTAAAAAAATAATTTTAAATTTGACCGATATTTTATAATTTTATAGCAGCCACACAATCGACTCCGTATTTCTAAAACTAAATTATGCACAAAGGTGTAATAAATCAACTTTGAAAATTCCATTATGCAATAATGCTTGAAAAATTATTTTTCGTTTGGTGAATTCATATAATTTATTTATATAAAATCCAGGTCTATGTAATCACGTCAGAATCGTAATTACACTTAGACGCAAGTAATAATTACGAAAATTAGGACACAATAATGAACATATAACATCTGACCAGACATAGCCCCTCGACAGGTATAGGAGATTTTAAAAATTATATGGATACTTTCATTACCGATGTTTCACAAGATGTGAACAAAAACAAGAAATTTTAAGTCTGTTTTAACAAGGCGATATTAGATAATTCGCACGATATTTTTCCATGAAATAACACTAGCCACAATTTTATTTTCTTAGCTTTGTTGTTAATAATAAGAGTTTTTATTCGAAAACTTCATCCTCACCACCTCGATGTCCAGCATTCTTCAACAGCGCGATTTTCAAGGCATTTCCAGCCTCGCACGACCACCCTGTGGAACCAGATGCCGCCGGTGGTCTTTCCGAACCGTTGCGACCTGGGATCCTTCAAGAATTACATAGCTTACTCATTGATAAAAGGCCAGTAACGCATTTGTAAGCCCTCTGGTGTTGTAGGTGTTCATGGGCGGCTGTAACCACTTACCATCAAGTGAGCCCCCTGCTCGTTTGTCCCTTTTCTACATTAAAGAAAAAAAAAGTTCGAACTGTACCGTCGAAAAAAAGGAGAACATTTTGAGACTTAAAATCCTTATAATTATGATATAGTATTATTTCAATAATGTTCTTTTTAATTAGATCGAATTTATGAATGAAACTTCATATTTTCTTCATTACTTTTGCAACTGGTTTCCTTTATCGAATGTCGTTTGAAACAATTCAAAGTCACACTAGTCAATTACTTGTTATCATTGAATCCAATAAATAATTTGCCAAGTATGGTAAGGGGAAACTTTTGCAAAATTATAACGTTAAACCAATTTCTCTTTTTATTTATGTCTTTGTTGCCTGTTAAAATAAGTAGATATTTACTAAAACATAATATTGACAGTCTTGTGATTTAGCTGTTATGTGAGAATTATGTCTTGTCGCTTCATCTTTAACTTTTGGGAATCGCTTTCAAGAATATAGCAATTTTCATTAATAACATGAAATATTTGAAGTACTACCAGAATTAATATAGGAACATTCTTTAGTACATCATTTCATCCATGCGAACGGGGTGAAAACGGGTTTAAAGTTACATACGATTATGTTAGCTATGTTGAAATATTTGTGTTGCCTTTATAAATAATCCAGTAGCCACGACGATAAATAAAGAACTATAACGAATTCCTTTCTCCCTAGTCTATTTATAAACGGGCAACGATTACATTACTCGCATCAGGGTGCGTTTACCTTAAGGTTGCCCGTTTTTATAACATAAAACATTATAATGTTAGGCGCACACTTTATATAGCTCGCTCATTAGCCGAGAACAGGTCTGCGATACCTTTTTCCCATAGGCTCTATACGGACGCATTCAATTTTAGCACCACGCAATATCGATTCCTTTTTCTTCTGTCTATTTGTGATCATTTTGCAAAATGGATCGTGCTTTCCTTGATATTTTTCCGCAAAATTTTATAATGTTGTGGTTATAACGATTACCCAAAGCGATAATCAGAGATAGACTCTGATTATCGCTTTAATATTGTGAACAAAACATCAAATACCCAAAAATCTAAATGAAATACCAGTTAAGTCAATTGAATTAGCGCATTATTGCACACGATGGCAAGTTAAATTAATGGTAATCGATAAGCAAAATAGATGATACAACCGTTTGTCCTTTAAAATACTTCTGGGAAATACGGAAAATATCCTTTTATGTAGGTTCAAATTACTTTTAACGACGCCACAATAAAACAGGTAAAGTGTATGTATTATTCTTAGAAAACCTTTGTAAGCAAATAAAGACTGTGCTTTGCTGTGTTCGTAACACTTATTATATACATGTTATTTTTTATAATGTATTAGATTGTAGTTAATATTTTTTTCTACTAAATGTAGTCTTTTTCACTGTGAAGTATTTGTAAATTTCTATGACTGAAACATTATATGATTGCTTTAAACACCGTGGATGTTTCTTAGTGATAGAAAATATTAAGTTATTAATTATTTTAGCAAAGTTTGCCATTAAAATACACTTTTTATTCAATTTGCCCGCAAAACATTTAGTTTTTTGTCAACTTGTACAAAATGTATGATTATTAGACAATGGTGAGTTTAATTCAATAAAAACACGACTAGCAGATATGATTTTATGTTGTAGAATCTAATATATTCTAATAAAAACCTCTTTTTTTTTTAAATATTGATTCGTCGAATCCAATATATTTGTATTTGTATAACTGATGTTACGCTTCAGTTCTTAGACTATTAAAGTTTCATCGAACGCAGAACCGGTGGGCTAGCTAGAACACACGGGTTGTTTGTTGTTACACTAGCTGTGGATGTAGTATTATCCGGCGGGACCCCCGAAGGTGGTTCCGACGTATCTAGATCCCCTTCCTCGCAGCCCTGTAGTCTCGGGCTCGTAGAATAGAGCTAAGGTATCCCCTGCCTGTCGTAAAAGGCGACTAAAAGGGAACACGGATTGGCAGCAGCACGAAGTGGTCTCGTGCTGCTGGAAGACGGCGAGGGAATCGGGGAAGGTTTACCCTTCTCCGAGGCGTGCTCACGCGCAATACTGAAGGTACCTCCAAAGGTACAGAAGGTGGCCACCGTCTGTCATGTCATGACAGGGTATCTTTAGAAGATTTCACCCCCGATACCAAAAAAAAGGTCCCCTTCCTCGACCGGGTCGATGAGGACGTTTGTTGACGTTCGCGTTTGTGTCGGGTTGGTATTTGCTGCGCTTACCACTAGATGGTTGGGATGATATTCGGCTCTATCGAAGAACCGTTTGGT